CATCAGTCCCAGGCTTGTGGCAGTGTCACCTCAACCCAGCTGGTGCTGGCTGCTGTGGCACCCAGGGTGTCACCACTGCTCTCGACACCCTATGGCCATGCTGGTCCCTCCATCCCTGTGAATCCTCTCTCTGAGGATTCCAGCAGTTTTTGGCTGCATCCCATCCTCYGGCTGCTGCTGGAGCAATGATGATCTGCCATGGGGGTGGGCAGTGCTGTCCACCTCGAGATGGGACAGCTCAAACCAYTCTCCAGCCCAAATGCCCCGCAGTGACCGTGCCCTGCAGTGACCTCTGCCCCAGCCACCCCTGATGGGGGGTTTCCAAGGAGCTCTTAAAATCCTCCCACAATGGAGGTGGCAAAATGTTCTGAGCAGCCTGTGCCCCTGCGTGGCTGGCAYTGTGGTGGGAAGGTTTTCTGGAGCCCAGTTAGGATCGCTGGGAGGYATCCATGGGTGGAATTCCAGGGTGTGTGAGGTGCCTTCCAAACCAAACCCCACTGTGATGAGCACAGCAAGGGGATGGGAACCTCCATGGCTCAAAGCTCAAAGCACCTCCAGGCACCTCCAGAGCCCCCACAGGACCTGGTTTCACTTTTTCCCCGTGGGCATGAGGTTCCCATCCCAGCTGGGTGATGGGGCGAGCAGCCCTCCTCGGGGCCRGCGTGGGAGAGGAGGAAATCAGAGCACGGCCGTCGGTGTTACCAGAAAAAACCGCTGCCGTTCCTCTTTCGTTCCTCGTACACGGCGCCGAAAACCGAAGCGTTTTGAGGGAACAGCGAAGGGCTCGCACAGGGTGGGCAGTGAGGGACCCCCACCCACACATGGAGAGGGCTCCTGGTACTGAAAGCAGCGGGATCGCCGCGTTTCCAGGGGCTGTGGCTCGGCTGGCGGCTTTTTTTGGGGAAATTGTGGTTTTCTCTTCTCCGCCCCAAGCTCGGGATGTATTGGGGTCCCTGTGGGGGCTCTGGGGTGCTCCAGAACATCCCACCCAGCACCTGCCTCTCCCTCCTACCGGAGCAGATTCCCAGCTCAGAGCGCTCCCGGCAGAAGGAATTAATTACGCGGCGCGTTTGCAAACAGCCCCGCGAATGAGTTTGCCTGGAACAGAGACATCCCCGAGGACATTTAGCGATTTTATATCGCTTCCCTTTATCTCGGCAATCTCGGCGTGCAGTTACACGGGCTCCTCAGATCCTCTAAGTGCTCTGAACGTGCTGCAATTTGTACAGGCTGTAATCGACAGGAATTGGGTTGTAATTAGAGCCGCTTGCYGCAGATTGCCGGCTCTGGGATTGTCTGCGCTGCCTCCGGAGCCGGGCAAGCAGCGCCTGCAGCTCCTGCGAGGAGCCCGGGATGCTGAAAGGATGATTGAGGGTCCCGTCCTCCACTTTGGGACACCTCGTGTCCTCTCAGGGCCACCCAGCACCSCGATGTCACCGTGGTGGTGTCTGTCCCTCGCTGCTTCCTCCCTGCTGCTTCTGCTTTTTGGTGACAAAACTTTCGCTGCCAGCGCTCRCTGTCCCCCCGGGGCTCTGCTGTGGTGGAGCCCAAACCAGTTTAAAATTTAAAATTCCAGGATTTCCTTACCCAGCTGATGCCTGAGCGTGCCTGGTGTCAGTGATGAGGGAATTACCTCAAACACGGCCCATTTCRGTGGTTTTATTCCTGATCACACCTCAGCTTTGAACATTCCGTGGCTAAAATCCCCTCATTCGGTTTGCTCTGGTCCAGCTGAGCGGGGCTGGAGGGCTCAGGAGGTTCCTGCTCAAGCGGGATGGTGCTGAGCTGCTCTGAGAGGGATTTTGGGTGGGAAATCATAGAAGAGAGGCCTCTTTTTGAAAAAAAACCCAAAAAACCCAAAACCAACCAAACAAAAAAACCCCAAAAAAGCCCTAAAACCAACCAACCAAAACAAAACAAAACAAAACAAACAAAACAAACAAAACAAACAAAACAAGAAAACAAAACAAAACAAACAAAACAAACAAACAAAAAAACCCCACAAAAATGTGAACAGGTCTGTGGCTGCAACAGAGCTATGATAGTTCCAGGGCTCACCACAATGGGTCCAAATGTTAATTTTGGTAGAGTGTGATTAACTGGGATGGGAGGTGACCCCTGAGCAGGGAGATGTGTGGCACGGTGGCACCGGGGTGACAGCAGGGTGACTCTGGCCACTGCAGGCTCTACGAGGGGAAGGAGGTGGCCGAGTTCCAGAACTCGCTTCAGCGCTTCTTCTTCGCCCTGAACCAGCTGATGAAATCCCCGCTGGAGGGTCCCACGCTGCTCTCCCAGGTATGGCTCAGCTCGGGGGTGTGGTGGGAGGGGGCCACTGGCTGGG